GTTTCATTTCTCTGTTCAGCTGATTTTCTTAAAGAACAAAATTACATGAGTAAATAGATGTTTTTATCAGTAACATCATCAAAAAACTCTAATAAATAAAGATATGTTCATCCCAATTAGTAAAGGGGTGTACGCTTAAGACATGTGATGAATATTTAGCTATATTATTACTGTTGTTATCTGAATGCAATATTTTCTTCACGGTTGCTTAAGATGAAATCTCCAGCCGTTCAGAACAACTGAAAACGTTCAACGACTTTCTCATTGTTATTTTTTCTCCCTCTCGCTTGTGCACAAAAATCAGATCTAAAATTCAGCTAATAAATTTCAAGGTGCGTATATGGCTCTGCGTCTATATATATTTATATGTGTGTGTGTGTGTGTGTGTGCGTGTGTGTGCGTGTGTGTGTAAAGAGATAAAGAGAGAACAAATCAATGTCCAATCAGAATCAGATGATTTCAGAATAAATGTTACTCTTCACGTTTTTGCATGCAAGACAAATGTTCATTTGATATTTAGGATACAATTTATATTGAACTGGTCTGACGGTGAAAAGACAACAAAGATTTGAAATTGCAATATGCACATCATCAGATATTCTAATAAACAATATCTTACACCAATCAGAAAGATTGACGGCTGCAGATAGAATTGTGTGTGGCTGTAAAATCCGTAAGATAGCAGCCTATGCGCCAACTGAAAACAGAGGACTATGTGAAATAGAAAAGAAAAAGAATATTAACAGGGTTCATTTCATAGAAATATTGTCCTACTTTGAAACAGAAACCTCAAACAGCCATGCAGAAATCTTATTAAATTTTCGTTATTCGAAAAGATTTAAAATCTTACAAATATAGTTTGATCATCTGATGAAACATATCTATTTATTTCAGGAATTAAAGGAAAATAAACATATACTCAAAATTTTGACTTTCGACACTACCTTAGACAAAAGGTTTGGAAGGAAACTTACGTTACAACTGGAATGTGTGACAACGGTCAGGGGATTTGAGAAACTTATTTCACTAAAAAGCTGTTACAATAGAAGGATTTCATGCGACAGTAACGCTGTTTGGTCAATAAATACCAAATGTTTCCTGCATGAAAACGGTTATCTTACCATTGCTATATGTATTTTGACCACTTGTAATATTCCCCTTGTGAATGTATAAAGCTATCCTAGTGTCTCTTTTGAAGGTTTTCTAATACCTTCTGCGATTTCCATTCAATTTTATTATTGGTATTCGAACGGCGCTCCTCAAGTTTCAATTTCATTTTGAGGAACACAGCCACGTCATTGAGGGACTTATCTTGGTAGGGAATTCGCATTTTCTGAGATTTTTTGTTAATTGGTTGCCCTGAATGCTCTTCGTCTTGTCGCGCGTGTGTATTTAAACTTTTTTGTATAGGATAAGAGGGTTCAATATCGGAGATAAAGCGTTTATAGACATAGAAATTATGACTGTAAATTTCACGCGTCAATAAAAACTTCAGTCACTATGCAGTATTGATTCCTATGGCTTCAATGTCACGTTCTCTCTCTCTCTCTCTCTCTCTCTCTCTCTCTCTCTCTCTCTCTCTCTCTCTCTCTCTCTCTCACCGTACGTATGAGTTGACGATAAGATATATGTAAAATATTTTTCCAGCATTCTCGATCGAATCTGTTTAATGTCACTATTGCAGATCAGGTAGAGAGGAATGAACTACATTTGTGTGCAATGCAAATTTTCTAGCTCCTCTATTATCAGTTCTCATATACTTATGTGTACGCATAAATGTGTATTTATTTACAAAAGATAAGTCCTCTGACCAATGCTGCCTGGTTTGTTTAGCAAGTAGTTGTCGAAACGGAGTAACGGAACCATTTTCAATATGAATATAGGAAACACAATCCTACCGATGAAGACGTGATTGCCTATGCACAGTTAATAGATTATATTGTGAATTGGCGCTTGCTGATAACAGCCAAGAGAAAACTCTAATAATATCTGATTTGCTTCAGCAAAATATGGGCTGAATGATCGATGGAAAATATTGTACTTGGTCAAAAATATAGACAGAAACAAACGACACGAAACGTAACTCTCTTGTCACTTGTAGTTAATAATGATCAGTGACGTGAACACGTGACTAATGGCAGTAATTCGTCAAAAAGACAATGTTTGCATGAATATAGGACTTTATCAAAACTAGTCACCATCAATAACTGATTTTCTGAAAGAGGTTTTCAATTTGTATAATTTGGGACTTTTTGTTGACCACAACAGTCATTTCATGACCGTTCGATGAATAGACGAACATTTAAATACGAACATTTTCCATGGAATGTGTGTAGGTGTTTCAGTGTGCGCGCGTGCACATAAAACTGAATGAGATCACGCAAATGTACACACTCATTGGTGGACCCCTTAAACACCTTTTTTTAAAATCATAGTCACAATTTTTTGCGTTGTGTGTCATCTCTAGATTCCAACGATTTATCGGCAATTCCTCAGTAGGTACCCCAACGATGCATGACAGACTGAAAGATCAATAATTTTTTTCATTTTTTTTTCATTCGCTTTATTACAGAAGGTACATAGTAACAGGTGTCTTTCCTTAGAGGAAGAGAGTAGATGAGAGAGCTAGAGAGAACAGGTGTCAACATGTCGGCCAGTTACCTGTCATATTCACGTGGAGGTGTATCTCACTCTGGGGAATTTGGGGGCGGGAAACATCTTCATTCCTCTATTCCTGCAAAAGTAGCAACCATTTTCGTATATTAAAACCATATACAAAGACAATTCATCACTGTCATGATTCCCCACCACAGATTTCAAAAACCACTCGCACTCAGCTTGGCTTGTGAAACTTCTGACCTGTACAAGAGGGTTTGTCATTTTTTCTAGCTTAAGCATTCTGTAACATTGGTTTACAAATGCCATTAACACATATTCACATGCGTTCCGTTCTACTATTTTATGCCATCTCTTAGATAACTTCATAAATGTATCCATTTATCTTTATTAAAATCGTTATCTGTAAGGGAGACTTTTTAAAAAATTCTGTAAAGGTGGAAATAGATGGAAATCCAAAGATGCAGTGAACGCAGCAATATTTGTTTGAATAATTCTTTTGGTTTTCTGCAATGGACTAACTTTAGGCGACTCCTTTAAAATCCCCCACCCTATAAACATTGATATGATTAATGACAGTTCGTTTTGCTTACCCTACCCACTCTTGTATTCTGCATTGTTATAAGTTATCCACTTTTTATTAAACGCTATAATTTTAAAAACGAAACGTTTAAATACAAACCAGTAGGTTTGGTTTTATTGCATATTTTTTTTATTGGTTGACTATATTAAAACCAAGACTCAATATTTGCATATTTTGAGCATGTTTCTCGTGTCGTATATTGTTCATAAAGTAATGTATTCTTCTGGTCACAATCAATCTACTTGATCGTTCAGCCAAAACTTCTCACTTTTGACACTTTCGGTAACACAATATATCTTACTTTTTTTTTTCAGTCGCAAGATAATTTCTTAAAATAAAAATGGCTAACATGTGGAATAGTTCTTTTTTTCTTTATTTTCATTGCAATTGCCCCAGTGATTATTAATACTTACGGGCTACAGTTAGGGTTAATGCTAGAGTTAGAGCATAGGCTAGTGTCAGGAATAGGATTAGAGCCTGGGTCAAGTTTAGGCTTTGTATTCAGGGTTAGGTTAAGTTTAGGGTAACATTTTATTGATAGATTTATTTATCAAGAATATCATCGGTTTTTCAATACACCTTTCCCAACATTTGTTTAATTTTTCTTCATCAAAATTAATGAAAAGGTCTTTGGTTAGTTTTTATATTACATGTTGATTATACAAAGCTTTCTTTAATGTCATACGTTCTTTCCCTTTCAATGCATTTTGTGAGTGTCTGTTTTAGGTATTTTGTTTGTTTTTCTGGTGGGGTAATGCTTATGTTTAGAAACAGGTTTAGCTGTACAGTTTGTGTTAAACATAAGTATTTGTGTTACATGTTAATTACGCAAATTTTTATCAACATAATCTCATTCTTTTCAGTCTAATAATCACAGTACTTATTTTTCTCATCAGTTATATATTTAGGGTTAGAGTTAAGGCTACATGTTATTTCCAAATGTTTTTCATTTACCAAATTTTATTGTTGTACTTGACAGGGCCATAGTTATAGTTTACGCTTATATTTGAAGTATAATTTGTGCTATTGTTTTAGCTAAAGTGTTGGTTAGGATTAAGTGTAAGTTTACATGTTATTTTTCCACGGGTTTATTTATTTCTTATGTATGTGATGATGATGATGATGACAAAATTGGTTTTATCCGCAATGTAAACCCAGCTCAGCAATAGTTTGATCTCTTAGCTACTAAGTGCATATCCGTGTTCACATAATATTTAATTACCTGACAGGTAAATACGTAGTCGACCGAAATGTGCTAAAGATGTGCATGCGTAGAAAAAACCGTATGACAGGTCGATGTATAAGCAACCACCTAAAAAAAAAAAAAGAGTCAACATTCGGAGAAGATTCCAGGCTCATACACTTACTGGTCGACAGTAGATAGCGAACTCTGGATTTGAATAAAATGTAATGTAAATAATGAGAGATTAAGTCTCGTGTTCTCTTTGAAACGAATGACGATTATCGTTATACTTGTCAGTGCCTTTAGCTCAGTGATTATTATTGTTCTTATAGTTAGGATTAGATCTTGTGTCAGGATTAAAGTTTGTGTTAACTTTACAGATAATCATATGGTTAGGATTAGCTTAGTGTTGTATTTATTGGCATGAATCAAAAGTTTGCTAATATTTGTGTCATGCTACAGGCATTAATCCATCCTTATATGTTTATGATTATTTCATATAGTTAAACACTCAATCACCGTTCTTTGGTCTTCAACAATACAGAATAATTGCATATCCTCCTTTGAATAGATTAGAACTATTCGGTTACAATTAATAACATATGTAATCTGTTTCGTTCAGAATTCTAAACGAAGTTAAGCAACGTAGAGCCTGGCCAGTACCTAGATGGGTGACCGCTTGGGAATACCAGGTGCTGTAAACTTAAATGCGGGTGATGTAATGGATAATGACTCTGAATTGTTAATCGGAGAGCCGATTTCTCGTACGATCACCGAAGTTAAACAACGTAGATCCTGGCCAGTACCTAGATGGGTGACTGCTTGGGAATACCAGGTGCTGTAAACTTAAATGCGGGTGATGTAATGGATAATGACTCAGGTATTGTTAATCGGTGAGTGAAGTTCCAATTCCATTTGTCTTTGTTATATTCTCTTACGCGCAAATACCCTTGGGAAAGGTAGGAATCCACCTCTTTCCCCCGCTATGGGTTAATTAATAAGACTTGTGTCGTCAAACTATTATTGCTTCAAAAAATTCTTACAATATAAAATTATTTTCTGGCCTTAAATAACCTACAAAGGATTGACAAACCGGGGAAAACGAATGAATCAATCAAATAAAGCCACCAAGAGGACTATTTCTTTATCTAATGTCAATAAAATAAATTATTACAAGTTGAGATTAGGAAATGTGTAATAAAGTGAAAGTATAGGAATAATGAAGATAACTTTATTAAGAAAGATTCGTGAAATAATGAATAACAAATCACTCATGACTATCAAAGCTTATCAACTGAATGGCGTTTCTTTCTTATCAAGAAAAGAAAATAAGATAAGACTCTGATAAACTTAATTGGAATAAGAATTAGGCAAAAATTGATTCTAATTAAAGCAGGTTCTAAAACATATCACAAATTGACTTGTCTAATTAAACTTATCGAAATATTACTAATTGATTTATTTATTTCATTAATTTCTTGCTAAAAAAAAAAGAAAAGAAAAATAAATGTAAAAAGGTTTGTCCTGACAGGGAAGTTAGGGAGAGAAATGAACCCACCAACCTTGGCTCCAAAAAGTAGACCTTCATTAAGGATGGATAGAAAGGTCTTTTAAGGTGGTTGGCAGGGCAAAATATTATCAGTTTGTTGAAAATAATTGTTCATTTGAAACAATTTATTCAGCAACTGTACTGAGCAATCTTGTTGATCTTTTTTTTTTTTTGGTGGGGGATATGTAGATTTAAATTTAAAATTTTGTAAATTTTATGTTTTTTATTCATTTAATTCATTATTTTCTTCTACGAATGCTGGATAAATAAAAATAGTTTTGCGTGTTCATTTTTCTCGGTTAGTGCCTAACGAGAATTTAATAAAGTTAAAACTTTAATCATGCATAAAACTTCCTCTGCTGTTTATATATACAGGTGTGTTGGGTTCTGCACATTTATATATCTGACTATATTATATGCGTTTGTGATAATTATTATTTAATCTGTTTAGCAAAATGTAGCATACGTTTTCTGAAATTTTAAATTTATTTTCGTTCCTATTTCAAGAGTTTTTGGTTATTTTTTTTTACTTCTTTTTTTTCTTAATTCTGATTTTTTTTTTTTTTTTGTCCAATTCCCAAATTAGCAATAGTTTCATTTTTTTCTTTTCTTCTCCCACAAATACATATTTTCTAATGCGAGCTCTCTTCCACAAAATTTTGTTTCTACTATAATATTAAATCCAATCGGGGTAGGGGGTGCTAATGTTACCCCCCCCACACACACACACATAGTGGATCTTTTTAGTCCTCGTATATGAGCTTCTCTCGGCACCTGAGGTCTCAATCCGGTACGATATTTCTGTCTCATTCTGGATAGACGAGACATGTACTTTCAGGGTATCGTGCCTGTATTTTCTTTACTGCATTATTTATTCCTTCATTATGTAAACGTTTTCTGGGTTCAGGCGTTATTCGTAACAGAATCCGAATTTTTGAGTAACTTCAAAGGTGAGTATCCTATCAACAGATGTATAATATCGGAGCTGTTGTACTATGATTTTGTGAATGGGTTCTGGATCATGCAATAGACTCCGGTGGGGCTTCTCTATGCCAAGATGAAGGGTACTGTTACGGCTGTACCTTCAAATATTTCAATACAGGTTGTTGATGTACGTATATCCCATGAATGTGACTGTCTCACTACCTAGTCTTCACCGGAATACACTTATTCTTAAACATGATCACAAAAAATCAACCCCAACTCCCTAAAAACAAAAGTAGATTGTGAGAATTTCTTCTCACACAGTTTAACCCTTGACAGAGACAAGAAGGACAAACAATTCAACAAGGCCTACCTTAAAACTTAAAACAAATTTTATTGTATCCTTGCAAAAAAAGATTTTGCCCTTTTTTGCCCCTGGGAACAGGGTAGGGTAGTTCTTCAATGAATAGGTAGTGTCTTTTACTTCTGTATAACACGATCGATCACTACAAGGTTAGAAAAGCAGTCATTAGCTGGTCGTTGCTGGAGCATTACCATTTCGGTTGCTGAAGTTGAAACTCGGCTATAGTCGAGTTTGTTCATAAAGTTCTTCGTGTAAACGTACACATTTGACGACAGTCAATAAATGAATGAATTATACAGCCTTGAAGGAAATAGGATGCTGAACATGACTTCGTCTCTGAAGCAATTTCCATATGGTTGCTGAAAGGAATCTTCTACAGCCTTGAAGGAAATAAGATGGGACATGAAGTCGACTGAAGCCTTACCATTTGGTTGCTGACAGAATCTCCTACTCCCTTGAAGGAATAAGATGGGATTTGAAGTCGACTGAAGCATTACCATTTGGTTGCTGAAAGAATCTCCAATGCCTAATTATTAGGCTTGGACTTAAAAGGCTGTGCAAGAAATTCAAACTTGAGTCCGGACCATTCCAATAATATTCCGTAACTGTCTCTGAAGCATTACCATTTTGGTTGCTGAAGGACATTCAATGCCTAATTATTTAGGCTTGGGCGCTAATAGACCTGACAATAGAATCAAACACTTTCAAAGAGACCTGACAATAGGCTCCGGACACTTTCAAAGCTAATCCGCAACAGATTCAAAAGGGTGCGGGCCGTTCTGAAATGCCCGCGAAAAAACCAAGTCAAAGTTCGACCAATGAGATTGGTCGTTACAAAATTAGCCAATAGGCGCTTAAATTGCAGAATTTCTTACAAGATCTCAGGTTCACCATCTCCTACACTCGTGTGAGAAGTCTACGTTCCAATTTTCCAAATGCAGAACTCCATCTTCTCAATACAAAACCTGATCTCCTGTTCCTATCTGAAATTGGTATCGATCCATCTATCCCAGTGCAGAAATTCGCAATCCCAGCCGACACACGGCCAAGGACTCAGCGCTTATATTAAGGACGGGTTCACATATGGCAGAAACCCCAGAAAGAAGGACCCTAATCTACCGTATATGTGCTTCCGCCTGGCACTTGTCCACAATATCACCATCTACGAACTAACTCAGATTAAAAAACCGCCTTGATGCAACAGAATATTAGGCGAACCACCTTAACCTCTTCTTCATATCTTATGCTGAAAAATGTTTCGTTGAATCCCCCCACCACTTAGACACTTCAGATTATTCACTAGTCAGTGTCAAAGATGATGCCAAACTAAAGACATCCGATGATATGCCGTTGCATAGAACGATTTTTCGATGCATGAAAGCAGACTGGTACCACTTCAGATCTTACATGGCGGAAGCTCCTCTTGCACATTTTTTGAAACATACTGACAAAAAAGGCCTCCTTCATCTCGAAATAAATCCTTTTTGAAATAGAGAATTTTATACTCCAGAAAAAATTCCAGCAAAAACCAAAACGCCAGCCCTGGTTCACTTACGAATATGCTGCAGCCATAACTCACCGTAACCACTACTGCAATATCTGTCACAGGGAACGGTGTAGTAGGACACTTGCTGTTTTCAGAACTGTCCACAATCATTGCAAGAGAGTTCTAGAAAATGCATAGTGCAGCTATGCACAAGCAATCTAGGTCAAGGTCGAATGCAAACGACTTGGTTTCCTGGAGTTCTGGAAGATCTCCAACCAAATTCTGAATAGAGGTAAAGCGTTAGTGCCGACTATTATAAATGACCCTGACGTCATTTGATCCTCGTCGGATAACGAAAGAATTTGGTCATGATTTTTTGCACTAATTAAACATTAATTAATAAAGGCTATCCCCTTCCAGATTTCCCCCTCTCACTGAGCACAATTTCAATTAAATTTTTATCACATTCCCGGAAGTTTGAAAGCCTATCAAAAGTATTGAACTATCCATCCAGATAAAATCCCAGTAGTTGTCCTTAAGAATATTAACATTGAGTTTTCTGTTTTAATGAAGAAAATTCCTCGTTATTTTAAGGATTATCCGGCTTTTAATAAATATCTAATTATTCCAATTAGCTCAATGGATAATTTTTCATTGATTAGAAACTAAATATTTTAAATCTTCGACTTTACAAAAAAATAAAAGGATGTGCTGAAAAACATTCGTTATAAATGTGCGAATATAAAGAAAATGCCTTTCGAGGAAAGGCCAACAATTCCAAAAGTATGAAAGAACCGTCAATTAAAAAAAAAACATCAACCGTATTAACCAAGCAATGAGAAAAATAAGGGACCAAACTAAAAGGTCGATGAACTTGACAGAAATTAATCATTTTATATACGCAGCTTCGGCAACGATCGCAGAAACAATAGGTAAAAAATTAAAAACACGACGTAAAGAAAAAAGAAAAATGCCAGCCTGGAAAAAAAATGGAAACCGAAATAAATAAACTACAAGGACAATTGTCAATTCTAAGTGAAGTAGACAAGAAAAAGGAGACAACTCAAACGAAGCCTTGACATTAGAGTGACGTACCAAAATTAAAGAGAAGCTGAAACACAAATTAAAGCGAAGGCACAAAGAATCGGGCGTTATAAAAAAAGAAACAGGTTCTTCTGGCAAAACAAGATCTTCAAAGATGCCAAGAAACTATATCGACAACTGGGAAAAATAAAATAGAGATAAATGACCCACCTAATAATATCCAGGAAGCCGTGGAGTTCTTGTGTAAGATGTGGAAAAACTGCAAAATAGACAATGAAAGAGATACAAATCAAGCAACAAGATCAACACACACATAGAATACCAAAAATGGATGGATATCAAAATTACTGAAAAAACCGTTGCCATCAGCAAAATCAAAAATTAAAAAACACTAGGAATAGACTGAATAGCCAATTTTTGGATAAAAAATCTAACCAACCAAGATCTCGTACGGACATACAATAATATAATTATAAA